TCTCCTGGAGCATCTCTGTCCTTCAGGAGCTTCGTCTCCAGGAGGCCTGAACTTCCTTCCCCTCTTCTCTGTCCTCCCATCTCCGCTCTCAGGAACATCAGCCTCCTCCAGGCAGTCACTGCTAAAACCTCCTCTAAGCAAATGAAACCTTCTCTTAACCTAAATATGATCAAATCCAGCTGTTTTCTTTACAAACAGCACAGAAATCCTGTTTTTTTTGTATTCCTTTAAAGCACAACATGTGAAAAGTGATTTTCTTTCTTTACACCTCCAGAAGTTCCTCCTTCATCCACTCAAACTCAAAGTTTGTCCCAAAATCGGTTTTCTGGCACGATTGAAATAACACCTGCAATTTATTTTTGTAAGTAGCATTTATCCTCAACTTTTTCAGGCTTGAAAATGGTCCTTTTTTCTCCTTTGAGCCCAAAGTTAACTACTATGGGTTGTAAAATTTGACACGTGAAAGCAAAGCCTGGGTCAAATAAAACATGCACAGGTTACCAAAGTCAGTGGAAGCAAATCCGACGGGACACATTCAGATATGGCAGCAATGATTATTTTATTACCTAAAACTATTTTTAGTGGTTGGCATGAAAGTCATATTTGGTCATATTTCATTTCATCCATCATGTCTGTGCAGTTCTGGATGTAAGAACTTTGTAAAACTTGTTAAACTGGTAACATTAATAAAAACGTTTGACTGCTCAGTTACAGCTGATGATGATGATGATGATGATGATGATGATGATGATTCCTCTAATATAACCTACCCACTGATGAATCAATGTTACTCATTTTCTCTGTCATAATATTATGACATATAATCTGTACATAAAAACATTTTGATTTACATTAACAGCTGTTAGATAATAGGAAGATCACCTGTTGTCATTATAAACATCTGAAGAAACCATTTTAATGAGAAGAAATGAGTTTCCTGTCTTGTTGCTTTTGGTTCTTATGTTTGAAGGTATAAAGTTATTTTAAGAATGTGTAGAAATCCCAGTGAGAAGCTGAGAGCAGATCTTCCACTCTGGCTTCATGTTGGAGTTACGTTAATAACTATAAAATCTAAAAAGCGTTTTTGGTGTTGTGGTGATGCAGAACATGTGACTTTGCCTCTCAGTGTGTCTGTATCCGTCATGCAGTGGAGCAGGTAAAAAAAAACACCCGCTCCCGTCATCCTGTTGGGTCTGCATGTGTGAGTCCAACTCGGCAAGCTGCCGGGATGCCACATAGCTTCACGCCAAACATCTCCTCTCTCTTGGAAAACAATCCGGCTGGGTCAGCTCTTTCATCACTGCTACGCAGAAATACATGGACGTAACAAATGAAAGCAGAAACACATGAAGAAGATACAAATACCAACGGGGTGTTTTCCTGTAACTGCAAATTAAGTTAGCTATAGCTCCCAGACAACGGCACATTAAAAACAAATCAACATTTCCACTGTAGTCCATATTTACTCTCCCACAGTACAAAGTTATTTACTCCACTGTAAACAACTCCCTTCCACACAAAACACCAGGAATAAATATGGAGCTTATTTTTCTTTGGGTTGCAAATATGTGCAGATAATAAACTGTAAGAGCCGAAACTACTCATTAAAACTATAGTTTCTGCTATGCAATAATGTTTTATTGCACATGAGGCCCAGTTGTGTCAGGTTTGTGATTGTGGAAATCAACTCAGGGGCGTAATTCATTCACCACTAACTTGCGTTGAAGAAGGCTGCCCCCTAGAGGTTCTTCAAGGTCATTGAATCTGAAGTGAGTCAGTTCAACCTGAGATGACAGAGAACAAGAAGTTTTTATGTTCGGTTTGAGAACTGTCAGAAATGCTTCTAGCCTAGCATAAATCTGATCAGCGTAATCCCAGAACCACGGAGAGAAAAGTAAGATGAAGACATAGATGACTTCAGGAGCCACAACCACATCCCCATCATCCAGCCAACCAAATGTGAGGCCAGCTGTTCCCAGCAGTGCAGTGGCTGCAGAGCTACGTTTTTATTTTTCCTCCATGGGATTAAATGATTGGTTGAGAGGATTTATTGCCATCATAGTGTTAATAATCCCAGAGTGTCTTGACGGTGTAAACACATCTGGCTCCAACTGAAGCAATGCGGCTCGTTCATCTGTTTCCTGCAGATGAGCTTTTCAAAAACACTTTGAAGGAAAGAAAATCAAAGCAAAGACTCACAACCTCACAACATGTGTGGGCACATCAACTCTCCACGCAGATCCATGAAACGTGTGGCAAACGTATCCTGCATGGCTGCTGCTGAGCCGGCTAGTGGTCCATTCTCACACTGAGAGAAGACACATGCAGCATTTGTTGAAAAATAAAAGAGAGTCTGTGGGCCTAAACTGGAGGGAACCAGACTCTGTTTTCCCTCTTGTTTCTTGAAGATATTTCACCTCTCAGCCAACGCTCTCCCTCTGCTCTGATCATGGATTATCAGAGTTATACATCGTAACCTATGATCATAAGAGAAGAAGCCTTTTGGGTGACAAAAAGTCCAGTTTCCTTTCATTTAGGCATCTGCTTCAACATATCATGTTAAAATACTGACTTCTATAACAGGGTCTCCTGGTTAACAAGAAAAAATATGTAGCAAGGATGATTTTCTCTTTGTGTCATTTTAAGATCCATCCTGTACTGCCCTCATCTGGGTTATATTGGTACTACAACTGCACACACAAAAAAAGAAACGAACATCCATCTGTTTTCACATCCAGACAAAATTGTTGATAGAAATAACAATCTGATTTTCAATGAAGCAAAGAAAATCAGATGTTGCTTTGAATTTTGATTCCTGGTCAGAAATGATGTTACAGTCAGAAAATAAAATGAAGATAGAGACATGTTAAAGTATGATGTGTCCTCTAATTAATCAGTCAGTTGGCCTATTAAAGGGGGACATGCAGTAACTGTGCTGAAGGAGAGAGATGACCCAGCAGGTTAGAAAGACAATTACAAACCAGCATGTTAAAGGTAAAGGCTGTAAAATCCTCTCCAAGCAGCTTCATGCCCCATTGACTGCAGCTCCACAGATTATTAAGAGTTTTAAGATCCACGGGACTGTAGGGAACTTCTCTGGTCACAGGAGGAAAACTGGTGCAGAGTGCGATGAAATCTCAAGACTACCGAGGCGTTCTGGAGAGACATGCAGCTTTGTGTCTCAGTCTCAGGTAAGGGATGTTCCAACAGGATAATGACCCAAAGCACCTGAGATTAACTGGGAGCAAAGCATTGGACTCTTCTGGGCTGGCCTGTCTGAGTATGAACCCTGATCTGCATCCTGATGAACATCTGTGAGAGGAGCTGAAACATCTGGAGAAAGCATCTTTTAAAGCTGAGACAGATTTCACCTGAATACCTGTGGGCAGGTGCAGAGGATCACTGTCATTAGAGAAACTCAAAGTTACATGCACCATTATTATTATTATTATTATTATTATTATTATTATTATTATTATTATTATTATTATTATTGTTGTTGTTGTTGTTGTTGTTGTTGTTGTTGTTCTGCTCAACCACAATTCAAAAACAATATCTGATTTTCATTGGATAATCATCAGTACCATTTTATGTAGTATTCATTTTGCCCATATCAGGTTATAATTTAATGTTTTGCTCACTAACAGAGGGTTTGCCAACAATTCTGCCCACGTGTGTTTATCCATTTCAGTACCACATCCTGAAATTACGAATAAGATTATTTTCTTGGATTAAAACCATGTCAAGTATAATGCCTAAATGAGCAGGGGCGTCTCCAGGGAGTTTCCAAAGGAGTCGGTGCCCAGATGGGCCCCTGACAGCACATCACATCCACAACCTGCTGCAGACTTCCTGAAGTTTCACCATGTTGTCCTCACCTGCATGGCGCAGAGCCCAGGGGTGTGTGGGTGGCTTGTTTGAAGGACAAGAATTAGTCATGAGCCCAAATAAATCAATAAATAACTGACCTCTAAAGCCAATCACATGACAGGAAATCAATACGTCTCTGTATCCAGATGTGGTGAAGACGGCTGGCTGAAGTTCAAAAACAGCATCAGGATGAAGACTCCAGTGGTTGTGGAGATAAATATGATGAGTTCTAATATAACAATATATTTATCAGATATATTCAAACACAAAAAGAAAACATTCACAGATACTGACCTTCAGAGGACCATTCTGCTGTTCTTACTAACCTGGAAAATCTGGCTCCCAAAAGATCACATAAAACAGTTTAAATCCATATGGACATCAGTTTTTATCCATTTATTAATCACCAGTTCTGTGTTTTCTTTGGTCACATTTTGCCGTTTTTGGGCTGTTATCCTCTCACCTGTTCTCTTTGCTCGTATATTTTGCTTTTTGTTAAAACAGCTGCTTTCAGCTGCACATTTGATGTTAACATTGTTTAAAATCTAAACAAACCGAAATGTTCACAAAAAAAAGTTAATTAGGACAATTCAATTAAATGTTGCAAAAAAGATTAGCTGTAGCTAAGATATCACCATGAACCAATTTCTTTTTGGCTTTCTATTAATTTATTTTTCTGGTTTTAATTTTTTTTTATTCTTGTATGTTGACTTCCTGTGCTCTGAAGGTGCCTTTTAAATAATAATAATATTATTAATAATCATCATCATCATCATTATTATTACTGCGGTCATATTTAATGAATTACGTCCGGATGAACCTCGTTTGTCAGATTAAAACATCAATCTTTGTGTAATGAATGTGTTTCACTTTTCAGTAATGTTCTCATTTTTTAAATATTGGCTGCATGTATGTAAAATAAACTTTACAGTGTAAACAGAACCTGTCGGAGCGCATTCTGTCTCCTGCAAACAGTTTCGGTTATTTCCTCATACTTCCGAAACAAGAGATGAAAACTTTATTAATGTTTTCCTCCACAGCACGTGTCTTCTTTAACTTCCGTGTTGGCGTTGCCAAGGTAACAGCAGATGACGAAGCCCCTCCCTCCCCCATGCGCTTCGTCACCACGACAGAGCAGAGAAATTCCTGCAGTCTCGGAGCTGCGACATCACCTGTCCTGTCCTCAGTGAACTCCTCAGCCTCCGTCCAGCTGTTTGTTCGGCGGTGAGACTTTTATTCTGAGCGACAAACTTTGTTCCAGCCGGCCGGGAAACTTTAACGGTTTTAGGTAAAGTGAGAAACACCTTGGCGTCTGAGAGAAGTTACAAGGAAGTGCGTTTCACACACTAAAAGTTTATTTGAGAGCGTGAGAGAGGTTGAGTTTATTAGAGGAAGTTTCTAAATAACAGGGAGGAAGAGCTTGTTTTATCTTATTGGAACAGGTTTTCTTGTTCATTCCTGTCTGTTGCTCATTTCCTTGAAAAAGACGTGCGCTCATTTATTGCAGCTTTTCGATGTTACTTCTATTATACAGCTGCTTCTGTAACTCTTCCTTTCTGCTGCCGAAGTTCGGTCTGATATTGTATGTATGTTTATTGACTTGGTGATTTCTGTTTTCTAAAATGCATTTTTCTTTCTCAGATGGATTAATTCCTGCAGGACGGTGTGGAGATGAGGTGGGGAAAGTTTCAGGTGAGCTGAGAAAACAAAGCAGCTCAGGTGTGTCTGATTAAACACCTGCTTCCATGTAACCGTACCGCAGTTTGAGACAAAAACATGAACTTACTATGAGATTTCATGATCCGGTGGGTGACTACTGTTAACATGTAGGTCATCCATCACTGCGGCTTTTGCAGATCGTGTTGTTTTGTGGTTTGACTTGGAGGTTTTGCAGAGCTTGGTTGTGGTTGAGACTCTACTGCACAGTGACTGCGGTCCTGATCTTGGCGCTGCTAAATGCTGCAGGTCTAACAGCTGTTACCTAAAACTGATAAAGTCTGCATGCAAAGCACACATTGCTCCTGAAACTAAACAGCAGAATGACGGCCAGGCTAAAGTTAGGCGCGAAAAATGTTTTCACGTTCACTGATAGGCAAACAGAAATCCTGGACATCAACTACATTTTAGTTGCCAGTCAGAAAATATGGATCCTGATTTAAACTGTCCTTGTTTTCCAACTTTTCCTCTCCACCGATTTCAGCAAACTTAACCAGAAATTAAAGTTGCTAACTTTTCTGCTGTGACTGGTAAATATGATTGATATTTTTCAGTCTTCTGGTCTGGCTGGAAATCCAAGAAGTTGGTTTTAAGTTTAGGTATTTTAACTGTTAGATTTTCACACCATTCCTCTGATTTAATTTTATTTTTTTATTACCGATTCCATGAAATGGTTTAATACATTAATCTAGAGCCTTTTATTATGTTGTAGTTACCTTCTATTATTTTAGGTTTGGAAAATTCCCATTTACAGTGAATGCATCATGAGCAGAGGTAAAAATCACTCTTTCCAAACAGTTTGAACTCGGTTCCCTTTCTCGTCTTGCTCACTCTGACTTATCATTTCCGTCATTCTTGCTAAATATTTTGGTTCAACTTCAAAACAAATTCAGAAAAGTCAAATATCTTCAAAAATATGTGAGCTGTTAGTGAAATTTGACGGAATAAATTTACATTGTGGAATATGAGAGAAGCTACAGGGTGAATTGGGTTTAGAGTTTGGAAGGATCTGGACTTAGATTTCAAATTAACTGAAATTCAACCTGAATGTTTTTTAATTAGATCATTTTATTCCTGAAGCAATTTTTTTTTTGCTGTCAGTCTCTACATGTATGTCTTTTTTGTCTTCTTGGTCATCATATCTGTATTAATATGGATCATCACTCATAAATTAATCAAGAATCCTGAAGAAGTGCAAGTGGGAGGCAATCTTCCAAACTAGTGCTCCCAGTCCGAGTTACATCAGCCAGTCAATAAAGCAAAGGTTTACCTGTCTGAAGTCATTAGTGTCAGAGGGAACATTGTCCCAAAGAGAATACAAAGAGCAAAGGTCACTACAGGTGATTTCCTACGTGCTTTCTGACCGAACACCTGCTGTGGTCAGTTGGGCAAAATTGGCAATGCAGTCGGCAAATCTCAAAAGTAATAAAAAATTAAAACCATGAGTGAAAGATCTGCTCTAAAGCTTCACTTTGTGAAACTGCAGACAGGTGTGTGACGCAGCTGATCCAGCATGTTGTAGACGGTCAGCCACGTCTCCATTGACCATTTGGCTCAAATTGGAATTACACAAATTAATTTGCTTAATGGAAATTAAAAACACTTTTTAAATTTTTACACTAGGATGAGATTTTTTTTATCCACAAATTGGTGAATTTCACAAAATGCCAATTCTATGAAAATTTGTCTTGCGACTCTGAACCACATGAGTCGAGAGAAAAATTGAAATGATTGAGAAAAATCAGTCATTTGGTGGAAAAGCCAAAGATGACAGACAGGAAGTGGTAGAATGATGGTGTGGTGCGTTTAGGAAACTCCTGGAAAATCAACAGTTTGTGAACATCAGCAATGAAAATGCAGCTCTTGACACATGGTGGGTGTCAGCTGAGGCACATTAGCTTCTGCTAAATACTGTGTTGCTATTTCACCTGGTAGCAGAACTAATGTTAGATTAGCGCATTACAGTTATCAGCATCCACTGCTGCTTGTAACCATTTGGTGACTAAATTCACCTGCACACCACACTTTTCAGTTTAAGGATTTCTTAAAGTTTAGGGACTTTAAGGATTTTGAAATGTTGTTACCATTCTTCATGGTAACAGTATGGAGTGTACCATTATAAGCTTTTTATTTTTGGGTTTGCGGTTTTGACTAGCTGCGTGTTTTTAAGTTTAAAGTTTGTGAATGTTCCTTTTTTGTGATTCAGTAAATTCCTCCTGTTGTATTTACTGGACCAGAGGTTGTAACTAAAGACCCTCCTTCTGTGTTCCTCTTAGGTTTCATCTACTAATTGAAGAGGTGGTTGCTAAGAGATGACAATCAGTGACATTGCTGAAAGCCTCGGTTCCACAGCAGCCTGAAGCTCCACTTCCTCCAGCCCTCCGTCTGCAGCTGGCTCATAGAAAACTCTCGCTCACACCATGGCAGCTTTCACTTCTCCGTGTCCTGACATCAGCGTGGCCCGGACAACGCTCCAAACACGAGGAGGCAGCGACCAAACGAGCGCAGAGGAGGACGACTCGAGGAGGAGCCGGAGTTCAGATGTGGGACAGAACACCATCCTGGAGAAAACTCACGAGTTCTTCCAGATGTGCGACACGGAGAACAAGGGATTCATCACCCGCCGGGACATGCAGGTGAGCCTGCTGCGTGGAGATCACACGCAAATCCTCGCTGCATCTTTATTCTTAAATAAATGGATTAAATGTAATCGGATGAAACCTGATTGTTTAGAAGTTTGAATAGCACTTTAGGAGCAGAAGAGATTTGAAAGGAAATCTGTGATTAAATGAAACTGGAAACCTCCTTTTTTCTTAGTGTTGCTGTTTTCGTAGAACCTTTTCACCTCTCAGAATAAAGAATCATTTATGGCTTTGTTGACCCACTGAACAGAATGCGGGACGGCCGGAGCGCTCATTACTGATACCAAACAGGAGCGTGATGTTACTGTGCAGCTCACTCAAAGCAACATAAAAGAGACGGAGACTCTTTGTCACACAGCCTCTCCACCTGCATTATTGTGCAGATTCTCTGGTCCATCAGAAGCTCATCCAGGGCTTTGATGAGCCACTTCAATGCTTCGCTTCTATGGATCATAAATACTCAGGAGGAGCTTTGATCTGCTGTTTATGGTCATGATCTGGTAATTAGGCCCAATTCTGCTAAATGCACTTCAACCAAACTGCTATTAGATTCTGTTTAAATGATTTATACTTTATCTGTGAAATGTTTCACATCATTAAACAAATCTTTCTGTCAAAGATAAGCTGAGTAAATACACAGAGCTGTTTTCAAGTGATTTAAGGGACATGGCCGTCAGTCTGGCCCTTTGTGGAAAACTAATTGCTACCTAAAGCAAATAAGCAGCTCTGCCACTCCAGGCTGCAATCATCTGTCTGATAACGGCTGTAAAGATTTTCACATCTTTGTGGAGGAATTATGATTTAATCTAAAGTGGCTCAACTGGTTTAATTCAGCAACGCGGCCAAGTTTGACTGTTGGTTCAAAGTTCTGATTCTGAAATTATAGTTTTTATACCAGATCTAACAGGATACCAGCTTCTAAAAAGTTGTACTTTTGTTCCATCAGTTTACAGATTTATTTATTTTTTTGTAAATCTGAGACGAACTCGTCCATAAAGCCAAGTCTCTTCTTTTTTTATTTTTCTTATATTGTGACCTCTGACCCTAACTGAGGCAGGGAGGCCTGCAGAGTTTTAAGCTGCGTTCCATTTACCTTATTTACCTATTTATTCGAGGAAACGGCGTTCCGGTTAACATGGGGAGAATTCCCAGCAGGAGTTTCCGGCTCCCAGTGGAATCCACCGTCGGACCTCCTGGATGAGTTGTTGTAGTCGTTCTGCTGGGTTTTCCTCTCCTGGGAACGTTCTCCACTGTTCCGTGTTTTTTCTCAGCTTCTCTGGAGTCCAGGAACTTTAGATCTGGACTTGTGACCATTTCCACACTGATGTCAGATTTTCTCATGTGTTCCTGAATTTCTTCACATCAGAACATGATGCTCTGCTTGGTGAATGTTTATCCTGCTTCATGTTGTCAGACAGGTTCTCCCAAAATGGTTTCTTTACTCTGCAGGTCAGACATGATTAGTTACATTGCACTATAAAAACATGGTTGGTGTATTTGATTTAATAAGGAGGTTAATTTGGATAACTTTGTTCTGTCAAATCATCATTTGAAACCTAATTATGTGACACTGATGGTTTGATCATCTGGAACATTTAGGATAAAAACTGAAGCAGAGGAATAGGAGGCTGTAACTCGGCTCCCTGCAGTTTGTTTGCAGGTGAATCGGTTTGTTGGGTCAGACCAGGACCTCCAGCTGGATGGCTTCACTGGTCTGCTGTTTGCTGAAGCTCCGTGTCTGCAGCAGATAAGACTCTCCAGAACAGCTGGTTGTTGAAAGCAGATTTTCCTTTCTGTGTCCAGCTCTGGGTTTTACGGGCGGCTTCGGTCAACACTGAACCGTGTAAACACTGAAAACCAGGCTGCCAGAGGCGTGGCTCTGCTGGCTCACAGGAGGATCTCCTGACGTTTAAAATAAGCTGCTAATGCCAAAGATTTTCCTCCACATAAATAGATTTTAATTTACAAATGCATTTTATAGCAGCAATTTACAATAATTTGGGAGAGGTTGTGTATTGTCTGGTTGGTCATGTTCATTAAACATCTGGTTTACTGAGATGAGAGGATGAAAATGTGCGTCTTTCTCCTTTACTAATAGTTGCTGCTCCATATAACACTTGCATGGCAGTTGTTATAGCTACAGTGACATTAGTGTCCTTGGATTTTGTTAACCTGATGGGTTTTTTGTGCTTTCTGACAGAGGCTGAATGGTGAGCTTCCTCTGAGTGCAGACGAGCTGGAGAACGTTTTCGATTCGCTCGATTCTGATGGAAACGGATTCCTCACGCTGGAAGAGTTCTCCTCTGGTTTCAGTAAGTTTCCAAAACTAAATATGACTCCGACCTGCATCTGACCTGCTTGTGCTTATGAGCTCGATTTTGTGTTTTTGTAGGTGCGTTTTTGTTTGGCCGTAGGATTTCTGTAGATGACGTCATGACTGAGAAGAACCTGAGTAAAAGCGTGCCGGAGGTTCTGTACCAGTCCCAGTGGAAGGAGGGTCCAGGCGCGGCTGAGGATGACGAGGAAAAGCACTTTGCGATGCTCATGGAGAGCCTGGGGGCCAGCAGCCTCCTGGAACAGTGAGTTCAGGGTCAGGTCTGAATGTCTGCACGGCGTTTCAGAAACTCAGCCGGGATTTTAGTGGAGAGGTCCATATGTTTCTGCTCAGCGTTTTCTGTGCTGCCAGTCAGATGTTGGTGGGATCCTAAAGAGTAGGAGACCTGCAGAAAACTAATAAGAAGCTTTAAAAAACTTCATTTAAATTCAACTGTTTTAAAACTTGTAAAACATTTTTCATGGGTTTCTTTTTTTTCAGCTGCCCTTAAAATGTCCAACTAGAAGATTGAATCTTATGTAAGATGTGGGTCGTCTCTCTTAAGATCTGGATGCTGCATTTAAGGAACTTATTGATTCTGCAGCATGATGGGAGCAGAGACGACATGTTTGATCATTTCAGTTTGTGCAGGACAGACTGATCTTCATTTGTTTGGGCATTAAATGAAGCTTAGTGGATTGATAAAATTGCCCAGATGCCCGTTGTTACTCCGTTCATAGAATACCACAAAAAATCATTTTAAATTCTAATCAAGTCATAGACCAAAGTTTTCAGCTTAGTGTTATTGGATGCAACCCAACTGGAATTTCAGACAATTTAGTGCATTTTACCTATTATTATTATTTTAGTCTGACTTTTATGTTTTTGTCTTTCAATAAAAGATTTTTTACTCCAATAATGAAATGCATTTTTTCAAACATTTGAATAAGTTTTCAGTCCGTTTCTGGTTCACTCATTGCTTTTTGTTTTGTTTTTTTCCCCATTTCAAAAAAATTAAGACTCCAATGTTTTTATGTTTTTTAAACTAATTTCTAAGACAATTACAAAACTAAAATCTTTTCTTCCTCTTCATTTAATGACAAATGAAGAGAAACCTGTTTAGTTCTTCAGAAACGGCCAAAGCCTCACCCTGTTCATCTTCCTTTAGAGGGAGTCTGAAGCTGATTCATGGCCTAGTCAAAGTACAGACTTGAGTTTGACTGAAAATCAGTGGAGTAAAAATGTTTGAACTCTGTCACCAGCCCTGCAGAGGTGCGCAGCCTGTGGGCCCAGCTGCGCCGCGATGAGCCTCAACTTCTGTCAAACTTTGAGCTTTTCCTGGCCAGAGTGACGGCGCAGATCAGAGACGCCAACCAGGAGAAGAGAGACATGGAAAGTGCCCTCAAAAGGTCTGAGACGCCATCAGCCTCACCGAAAAGTCCTGGTTTCTGTCACCTGTTTAAAAAACCCCCACAAATTTTACTTGAACTATAAGTTCATTTCCTTATATTCCATATTAATGACTTTTATCCGTTTAGGAAAGCGGCAACACATGACGATGAGATTCAGCACCTGTATGAAGAAATGGAGCAGCAGATAAAAAACGAAAAAGACAAAATACTACTGCAGGTAATTATTTTCCTTAACTTTTTGTATTTGGTCAAGGTTTTAGTATTTCCATTAAATTTCTTTTTAAAAACTTTGCTCTAGGACTACGATCGATATCTGTCCCGAAGTAAAGACCTGGAGCTGCAGCTGTCCAGCAAGGAGAAGGAGCTGGAGCAGCTCTTCCAGAAACAGAGACGGGTCGGTGGAAACGTTCAGACTCCAGATCAAAACCTTTCAGTCATAAGAGAAAATCAAACAAACCATAAACTGTTGGAGCAGGAAGAATCAGGCGCAGGATAACTGATAAAAACATAATGATGACATTTAGCATCTCTTCATCAACGCTGATTAAAATGGTTGCATCTGAGCCTACAGCTCATTCCCACTTCAACATGAATCCATTCTCCAGTTTTTACTCAAACTATATTTACTGGAGCTAAATTCCTAAAACGGCTGCTTTAATTCACATTTCAATAGTTTCATCAATGTAAAACAGAAATTCTGCCTGGAAAGGAGCAAATTAAGACTCTGCATGTAGTAATTTTTTGCACTGAAAGGTGAAAAGTGCTAAAAGAGCAAATTCATATAAAAATATCTTTAATTTTAAAAGTTCAGTCATTTTTCTTGAACAATTTCTGTCCAGTTGGAGTGTCAGTGTCAGGAGCTCCACAGTGAGCAGCATGAGACCAAAGTGGAAAACGTGAAGCTGAAGCAGACGAACGACGACTTGGCCCGAGAGCTGGAGCTGGTGAGCCAGGAGCTGACGCTGGCGCAGGAGCAGCTGGGTCTGCTGCAGGAGCAATCGGCTCGGCTGCACGAGGAGAAGGAGATGTGAGCAAACGTTCAGATCAGTCAGAATAACGTCTGGCTTCTTTTGACACTACTTGCTGTCTGGTAAAACCTCGTTGTTTTGTTGTTTTCTCTACTCTGGCTTATATTTGGATTTGAAGGAAAACTCCAGAACAAACTGACTGTTTTTGCACACAGGGAGATCTACAGACTTACTGAAGGACTGCAGCGGGAGCGAGCCAGTCTTCACAAACAGCTGGACCTTTTGAGGTGTGGCTCCATCAAACACTTTTCGGCTGTTTCAGATCGAATGCATGTTGACGTCTCAGAACTTGTGGTGCGACTCGTTTTTAATCAGGTTAATTGTAGTGTCTGTAATTATATTTTATGCTTTCAATTTAAAAGCTGTTTTTGCAGCTAAATTGTTAAATAGAAATAAGAACTCAACAACAAATATATCTGTAGTTTTTAATGGGATATTCAGATTCTTCAACCATCAGTTTCTCTCTGTTTATTTTTCCAGAATTTCTCTTATTCATGGAGCTTCTTCAGAAATGTGCACTCTGGATGCTACATTAGCGTTAGCTGCTACATGCTTAGCATTGAGATGCTATTTTAGGCTACCATAGCTTCACTAATGGGTGAACTCATTTTAGCACAACTTGAACACAACAGTCTTTTCCATCGTCCAATCAGATCGGTTTGAAGCAGAGATGAACCTTCATCCTCCATCTTGGTGGACGTCGCCTTTGCTTCAGATTTACGTTCACTCCAAAAACGCATAAAAAAGGAAGTTAAATGTGTTAATTTATCTATGTACTTAATCTAAATGAACTCGTGTTCTTAGTAGGGCCAGGACTTAAACATGTAAGTCTCGTTTATGAAGCTTGCATGTCGCTGTTGATTTGCCTCAGTTATTATGGATCATGTGTTTTGGGACAGAGTTCAACGCTGGATGTCAGGCCCTTCATCAGGACAGAATCTGTTCCTTTTGTCATTTTAAAAGTCCTCCAAACATCTAGAGAATGAATTTATATTGTTCTAAACTTTGTGCAGGTAAATGGTGGGTGACTTTTCACCAGTGCAGACAGAGAGTCTGCATAGTCAGTTATTCCTGAAATGTTTTGAGTAGCATTTGAATATATTTTGTATCCATTTTTCAGAAGTACTTCATATATAAAACATCTGGGTTTCAAATACATTTAATTTCAATATTAACAGAGATTTTCCAACATGTCAAACATTCAGTGGTGACCCAGCTTAGCTGATCTCTGTCCTCCAATTTCAGATGTGCAGAAAAACTATCGTGATTTTTACCTTCTGCAGCAGGCAGACATACTGAAATAAAAGCAACGTTGGAATAAAGAGATGAGATGCTCTTTATGCTCTCTGCATGTAAAATCAAGAGCTTTATTTACTCTGCTTTTCAGTCACAACATGTGATTGCTCAGGAGACATGAGTAGGACCTGAATAAGCCCAGATTGTTGGTGATGTTTGAGGTGATCAGTAATGCAAAAACGTGGCGAACCTTTAAGCATTAACCCCTAAAACAGCCATTAGTTTTCATCTGTCTTTTTATTACAGAGAAATGAACAAACATTTGCGGGATGAAAGAGACATGTCCTTTCAGGTGTGTTGTGTTCAGAGAAGTACAAAGCATTTTCTGTTTTTCAAATCAAATCTTTTTGTCCAGAACCATGTATTAAAAATTGAAAAACAAATCTCACTTTGCAGAAATCAAAAGGAACCAAGAAAAGCTTGAAGCACCGGTCCTTTATTGATGGAGTGAAGCAAGCAGACACAGATGTGTTTAAAAGGTAAACCACACAGAGGTGAAGCTGACGTAGCAGCAGCAGCTTCATGTTTGGTGTTTCTGCAGTGAGGATGAGGAGGAGCCGACCTCCACCGCCCTGAGGCAGAACCTTAACGGCGTCTACCAGCCGTCCTTCCCAGCTGAAGCAAGGAGTCGTTTCCAGAGGATCATCTCCATAGAAGAAGACCACCTCCCCTATTTACTGAACAGCGGCCTGGCTCAGAACGCCCTGCAGATCTGTGCTGAAGTGGAGACTCAGCTGGATGATGAAGACGGTGTGGATGTGATGAGCGAACTTCACCGCATGTCATCGCCGATCCCTGAGCAACAGCCTGAGGAACAGCAGATTCCCACATCTCCAAGAGGTCAGCCGGTTGGCAAGGAAACCACCATCAATGTAAGCGTCGCCACATGTAGCTGAGCTGGATTAAAGTAAACCAGCAGGTTCACTGGGCCCAACGTTTCCTTTAATGGTTCCCAGGAGGAAAGTGTTCCTTCGGCTCCTGATCGCCTCTTCAAGGTCGTCCTGGTGGGAAACTCCAGCGTGGGAAAAACCTCGATCCTCCAAAGATTCTGTGACGACCGCTTCCACCCGGGAACCTGCGCCACCGTCGGTACGCAGTGTAAACGTTTTTCACTTCCTGTCAGTCGATAAAAACTAAAACAACAAAGTCATGTTGGGCTGCAGTGATGTTGGCTGTGACTCGATGGGAACCTGGCCACACCCCTCAGTGGCTCTGGACTCCGCCCACTTTGGCATTTTTCTAAATTTGTCTGAGGGTGGACTTATGCTTTCACATGAGGGTTATGTTTAAATCATTTCTGATGTCATTCTGTTTTATGAATCTAGATGTTAGATTAAAAATCTGGCTTGCAGTAAATTGGTTGAAATTCTCAGGTTCTGCTTCAGTTTTTCTTTCCTTTTTCTTTCATTTATTGTTAAATGTAATACCCATCATTCAATGAATACATTTTTGTTTGGTGTTTTTTTTTTTTTTGGTTGAGTTTGGACACAGCACTGGCTCATCTGTTGCCTTGGGAACCATTTTTAATACTTCAGTGAATCACAAAATGGTCAGATTGCACTGAAATAAGGAAGACAAACATTAAAATAAATCACTTTTTAACTTGTGTGTCTGCAGGCATAGACTACAGTGTGAAGACAATAACTGTGGACAACAGCCAGGTGGCGCTGCAGTTGTGGGATACAGCAGGACAGGAAAGGTAAGCTCCATTACAAAAGTGTGAAATTTAGAGAAGTTCTGGTGTCTTGGATGAAAGTCCTCTGCTTTCTGCAGGTTTTTATGCGGCTTAAAGCACCGTGACATTAGGAGGAAGTGACCAAAAGTCTACTTATAGTCCACTTCCTGTTTCTCCTGCAGGTATCGCAGCATCACCAAGCAGTTCTTTCGCAAAGCTGATGGTGTGATTGTGATGTATGATGTAACCGCTGAGCAGAGTTTCACTGCAGTCAGACAGTGGCTGACGAGCGTCAAGGTAACGGATCCGCAGAGTAAAAGTCTGTTTTCCTGAGAAATGACTCCAATGTGGACCAGTCCTGTCCAGCCTGCTGCAGTAAAACCAGCTGCCTGTCCTACGCTCATCACATCTACTGCTTTTCAGGAGGGCACTGGTGGGGAAATACCCATCATGCTCTTGGGAAACAAAACGGACAAAGAGGCAGAGAGGGAAGTTCAGAAGGAAGTGGGCGAAAGGCTCGCCAAGGTCTTGAGTTTAAATTATTCCTACAAGCATTACATTTTTATTTGGGGTCAGAATCGTGATTATACCTGGAAATGCATTTTAGCACTCTGAGATTAGCATTTTATCTGCTCTACTGCCTTTTATTTAACCCTGTTTTCCTGTTTGAAGGACTGCCAGATGACCTTCTTTGAATGCAGTGCATGTTCTGGAGCCAATGTGGCCGAGTCCATGGTGCATTTAGCCAGGTAAGCAGCTAATGCAACAATAAAACATGTTCTTAAATATGCCAGGCGTGTTCAAAGTTTGCAATAGGGCCAAGTGAAACATTAGCTCAGCTGTTGGCGCATTAGCAAAATGTACCACCTCTGAATGCATTCATGTTTTGGTTATGAAGTATTTAACTTTGAGTAAATTCTGATTTGTAATCACTGGTTTTATTTCTAATATTACAATCAGGCTCTAAATTATTTAACTTTCAGAAAACTTTATGTAATGCAAAAATATCATGTTATCATATAATATCATATGTCATTGGAGTCGGAGTAGATGTGAAAACGAGGTGGTGCATTAATCACAGGTTTGAGTTCAGGTAAAACCCGTCTGTGTTCCTGTTGGAACTGATCATCTTTTATTTTAGGATCCTGAAGGAACAAGAAGACCAGCAGAAGGAGAAAACGGTCCAGCTGATCAGCAGCCCCTCAAAGAGGAGATCCTGCTGCTAAAACACTCAACACAACGTAGCACTACCCTTTAACCAAGTTATTAAATGTCCTAGTTAAATCACATGTGCCAGTCAAACACAAAGAAAATTCAGGTTGAATAAAATAAGTACCATTAAGATGTTGTGGGTTAAATGTACAACTAGCTGAAATATTTAGTACGTTTGTTTTATTTGTATGTTCACCCTAACTTGAATAGTATATTTATCTGTTCTACATATTTATTTCACTTATGAAGGGCATATTGTTATATTAATGTAGATCTATCATGAGATATACTAAATGTTTCACTTCCTCTATATCCATGTTTAAAATGACACATAACAGCAAAGCACCATAATTTAAGTAACTTTGCATGAAACTTTATACCTTTAAAACTTTGAGTTTTAACTGATGTAAATTCAATGCAGTTTATTTCTGCTTGTGACATTTCTTCATATAATGTTTAAAAAAAGGGCATCAGTGTATAGAAGTACTTTAATTGCACATGTTTTTGTTCCAGGTTTTAAACCTAATTGTTGTTGTTAGGTGGCAAGTTATTTTTCATTGAAAATTAGTTTTGAATATTTAATTTACTTTGTTGTAACTTTTAAGAACAGATTGGATTAATTTTAGATGCCAAGTATTTTATGAAGATGTTCTGTAATTTGTATGTTTAAAATTTAGTCTCAACTTTATTTTTGTCACTAATGTTTCACTACGTCAAGAGTCTCGTTAATTTAATGTATATATGGAAATGTTAATAAAATGTTTGAAATTCATCAGCGGACTGTGGCTCGCTAAATCATAAAACATAAAATAGATTTACAACATTACAAAGTGATTAAGTTTAACCAAATCAGTTTATTCCAGCTTTAGGTCACGTGACAAAATATAAAAAATAAATGGCAAAAGTTCAGTTGACATACCAGATTATACTGGTATAACCCAAAAACAGCAAATCAAGGCTCAAACTGTGCTTTTCTTTCCATGTCAGTACTCCTATATATTTTTATGTAATATAGTTCACCATAATAATAATCATAATCCTTCTCTTATCCATTTGTTGGCATGTTAACCTTTAAAATATAAAAAATTTTAAAAGCTAGAATTTGTCAAATTATTTCATTTCTGCAGCAGAGCCTGGATAACACAGAGATGCTTCCATTTCCCATCAAATGGGCAAGAAAACACCTGGAAAACTTATTCCAGGCTCCTGGGTTCCTCAATGTGATGGCGCCCTGGGTGAAGAGCCGTGTAATCCATATCAAAACTGTCACTGTCTGACATCTGGTTGACCAAGCAGCACTTTTTCCTTTAGGATGATTTAGATCAACCGATTTATTAAATAAAAAGCTTGTTGAAATCTTGGCAATGACCTAAAGAGCTCAGGTGAAATGGATCCACTGCCGAGCCGGAATGCAGGATTTGTGATAAAACTACAAATGTTGTTTGTTTTTGTTGCATCGCCTCAGAAGTCCTTCAGAAATTTTTTTTATCTGAGTTGCTAAGATGGTAAAATGTTGGAAGTTCTTATTCAGAATAATTTAGACCCAAATTTTAAAGAAATATTGGTTGTTTTAACTAAAGCTAATTCTAAACAAGGAAATTTAAAAAAATCAAAGTTTAAGGGTTGGATTAATGCGTCAAGGCATTTACAGCAGGATAAATGAGTACTGAGCTGTCTTTTCTGTTTTATTCCTTATGGGGTTACTAACATGGAATTTGAACCAGATGTCTGTAGCTGTAATCCACACAAACACTGAAGTCCAGATAAGTTATAAGGTTGAAGTAGCAAAAAGGCATGGAAAGCCAAAATATCAGTTTTTAGAAAGCAATCTTATCCCTGTCAGTGCAAAATAGGTTTTTTAGTTCATGTGAACATCTCACTATGAAAGTATTGCACAAGAAGCATTTAATGATGGGTGAAGGATATTAGTTTTCTCATGACATTTCCAACCGTATATTGGCTAAATGTTGACATACTGCTCCTCCTTCGACCTCTGACAGTGTTAACCAAAAACCAGAGACTGGAGGAGAGTTAAGGCCTGAAGTTAGCATTCACCATGAACAATAAGTAGTGCATTCAACCATAATGTCCTTAATGCAGACTGTGGTGCAAAACACCACCGCCAAAGAAACAAGTTTAGGCGCCTTTAAAATGTAAAAAGTTAGTTAGTGGAGTACTGAGAGAACACAGTGTGGTTAGAAGAGGCCCAAACTGAACTCTGTCATTGAACGCACCATGTTTGAAAGAGAAGTGGCGCTGCGCATCAACTGAAAAAAAACAACCATGAAGTCTGGAGGCGGCAGTATCATGATGTGGGACAGATTGTCAACAAATGGATGTGGTAAAAGAAGGAATTAAAAATAAAATGCTCCAATTGAAACCCACAGAAAAAGTAATCAAATGCTTCCATAAGCATTTACTCCCTGTGTCATTACATTACAACATCTGGTATGTATTTCCTGTCAGTGGACCCATTCAATGCATGTTTAATGAGGAAAAACATGCATTCAATACTTGTCCCCCACTGTGTGATCGAGAAATGATGTCAGAAATTGGACAACTTCACAGCTCAAACTAAAACCCACAAACAAAGTTCTATATGTGGCACGAGGTGGGTTTGGTCACCACAAGCTGCTCACTCATAAAGACAGGAACAGGAAATAGAACAACCACATTTTCTGTGCTTGCTCATCCTTGGCTGCACTTTTCACTTACTGATGTGTTACCCACTACTGCTAAACTTTCACAAATGTAAACAGTTTCAATTCAGTCAGTCGTTACAGCGCATAACATGACAGTCGTACCTAAATTTAATGATGTAGTTCACTGTAAACCCAAAACAGCATATGGAGGAAAGAGTCAAACTACAGTGCCTGGAAAAGGATTCATCCCTTTGGATGTTTTACTCTTCTTATTGCTTTTAAAAATTAATTCTGATCATCAAAATGTTTTCTTGTTTTTTTTGACAAAAAGAAACTCTTTGATGTCAAATTGAAAACTATTTAGAGGGAAAACTTATGCTAATCTAAAAACATGTTTTTGCTAACTTTGAAATCATTTAGTGCACTTAACTTCCCCAGCTTATTGTTTCCAGATAAAGTCTAAGGTTTTTATATACTTTCGGTTAAATAAAGTTTGAAATTTGTGTTGTGGCTTTGGTTATCAAACCCACAACACCCCCTTTATTTTGAAGGGGGTGACGTGTGTTTACGCAGCTGTTCCGTTTCCTCTTCATGTTCGGCTCTTCTTTTTTCTTCTTCCGTAGCTTTATTTAAAATAAAAAACATACAGGAACAAAATAAGATACAGCAAAACAAAACAAGCTCTAAATATAATATCTAGGGGAATGAGTTTCAACAATTTAACTGAATTCAGTACTTCAGCATTCATTAGCTTCTGCTAAACACTGTGGTGGTGTAGTGCTTAGCGTTAGCAGAACTAGTTAGTGCTTTAGGGTTAGCAGCTCATTTTTTGTTAGCAGTGCACAACACTGATGTTATGTTTTTGTCATTACTGTAGAAATAATTTTTCACAGTAACAATAAAGTTTTTTTGTCAAAAGAGCCTAATTTTGTTGCTCATGATTGTTTTGTACAAGAAGAGCAAAACATCCAGGATGTGAATACTTTTTATACGCGCTGTTTTGTAGTGAGCAAATACAGACCACATTCTACAGGAACAGCACTCCATCTCACATGAACACAATTATTATCAGTAACATTCGTCAGTGCTAGAAACTGACCTGTTTGTTTTACATTCAGAATAATTTTAACAGTCTGCAAAATGATTTCCTGCTCTCCTTACATATCAAAGTCTCACTTTTATCATCTTCATCACAGGCCATGATGATGCCTGTCCCGTCCCGCTGTGCGTCCGTCTGTCCTCAGGAATCTGCGTCTTGGTCCTCCATGTTGCTGTCTGCAGGACGCCGCTGTCCAATCTAACGCATCTTGTAGTCATGGGAGATTGCTGCCTCACACAGCTGCCCTTTGAAATCCAGTTCAAAAGTGAAGTCCAAGTCACGCTGTGAGTGAGCATGGAGAGACAAAGAGGGCGTGTTTTTCAGACAACAACTGATCAAACACACAGCAGAGGGCACAAAGGAATTCAGGACGGAGGCAGAACAATTAGGTTTATCATTTTGACCAAACAGCGTTTGGTAAACGGAGCGTTCATGTCAGGCAGCAGGAGAAAGCAAACAGTGTCTGTCTGTTCCTTAAAGGTGGAGAGGACACTGAAGGTCAACAGTAAACTCTGCTGTTTGCTGAAGGAGCCGCAGTGCAGCTGCTGCAGAAAACAACCTGCTGGCTGTGCAAACAGCCTCAGTATCTGTTAAATAAGGCGTGCGTTATTATTATACAATATGATCATGAGATCCATTCAACTCAACACTCACTATGTTTTTCTCATTGGGCTTCATTGTGATGCTGCCAGTGATTTCTTCTCCTCTCCTCACGGTTAGATAATCCTCCAGGTAGAAAACGGTTTGCTTCCAGTGTGTGTACGCAGCATCTGGAGCTGCAACACACAAACAAACACACATGTCATGTAAAAACAGAGCTTTTATTTCATCAGATCTTTTACTGATGAGTAAAGGTTTATTGCAGCCAGTGGCGCAAACGATATAAAGAGGTGTAAAATAATGTGATAAACATTGGAAAGCATTTTTATTTTACTTAAGTTTTCAATAAAATAACTGTAGCTGCAAGATAGGGAAACATTCCTCAGTAGTGCAATTGGAACCATTTGAAGTTGGCAACTTATTGTATTTTTACTTCATTCAGCATGACTGAGTTTGAATCCACTGAGCTTCTTTTTGCTGAATTTTATTAACAGACATTAACAAACATTTTCTGCCACAAATATTTAGAAGATTTTTCCATTTTAAGCTCCCAGATGGAAAACCTAATTGTTTTTATGAAATATTTTAAACTAAGCAATAAAATGTAAACAAAGAAGAAGGAATCAGATTATTTATCTAATTTATAAATTCATCTATTCAAAATACAAAACTCCACAGAGTGCAGCTCCAAAAGTTACTTTACAGACAATAACTATAGAAAACCCTTCATTTGAACCCGGAGACCATCAATGACATCATGAACCAGGAAGTGCTGGGCTGGCCCCGCCCACACACCTGTCCTGAATGCGGGATCTGAACAAAGGAACAAACCAAGGTGAGTTTATGCTAACAAACATAAACAGAAATCATTTACCAGAAATGTTCCTTCAGAAGAAGGAAAACTCAAACGAACATGAGATTGAATAATATTTGTACTTGGATGGAAACTGTGACATAAAACCAGGAAAGTCTCTAACTTTCTCACATTCAGTAACAAACGTCTGCTTAAAGCTGATTCCTAAAACTGGCACCTTCTTAACTTTATCCTTATGCTTCCTTTACAATTATTTTTATTTGACTTTTAATCTTCCTGAAAAATATTCTGGGAAATGCCTTGCAGAAGTATTTACACCCTTCAAGCTTTTTTCACAACCTGTCAAAACACCTCAGTGGCTTGTTGAGGATTTAGTTTGACAGACTGACACGAAGCATGATAATGACGTGAGAGAAGAAAAGCTGCTTGGTTTTGTTTAATTAATCCCATGTGTGTTTTTAAAACTCAGATTATTTTCAGATGTTCTGTTTCTGGTTTGATGGAGAACCCGGCTGCTGGTCGTTGTGCATTAATTTAAATCTGGGTTCGGTTCCACAGTTTGTCTGCTGCCATCCATCTGAGACTCGCTAGAGACGGCCAGCCCTGGATGCTGTCCGCACCAGAACACGCGGGGAGTTTCACCCGACAGACGCCGAGGACTTCAGGGAGGCTCTGAAGGTCAGTGACTCTGAAATCGAGTTTCTTTCAGTCTTCCTGCTTGCTCCATCTTCTTTCTCAGCTCAGAGATGAAAGGAGCTGTCAGGCAGCTGGACAGGCTCAGCTCCGATGTTTGGGCAACCCAGCTCTGCTTCTTATGCTAATGCAGCTGACGACACGGCGTTTCCACTGACGGCCGTGAAATGGAGTCTTTGACCTGTGGGTTGTTTTTCTCCTCTGGTGTCAAAAGTCTGATGCCGTTTGCTTCCAGAGAATCCAGTTTGACTCTCTGTGTGTAAACTCAGATCTTTATCTTAAAGTTTCTAGGCAGGCGAGTCTGCAGGTCTGACATTGGGAACTTTGCTCGACAAACATCTTTTACAGAAAATCGATAGAAAGGTAGTGAGACGAAAAGGAAGAGCTACGTCCGAGTAATTCTTTGTGTTGAGATGAAAAGTCTCTCTGAGGCTTTAGGAAAAGAAGATCTGTGATTATTTCTAGCAAAACTGTCAAGAAATCCATCAAACAGCCATTTTTAGCTCTCAGTTCAGCTAAATAAAACTCATTTAGAGCCATTAATGTTACAGAACATTTAGAGAAAGAAAAACAACATTTAAATTTCTTTTATATTTTTAAAGTATCACAAATGTATTTGCACTTTTAAAGTTTAGGATGGATGATTTTTTTCTGATATTTTATTTGTGGAAAGTGATTGAAAAGCACAAGATCTAAAGGGATTTAACTGGTTTTAAAGGATTTTCTGTTGAGGAAAATCAGTGCAATTATTCCATGAAAAATGAAAAACAGCTGAAACCTTCATTTATTATTGTATCTATATTTGAAAACATAGTTGATTCTTTGTCATTTTTAGTTAATGTTACCTCATGAAGGGTCCAAACCATCATCTGCCAAAAAAAAATCAACTCAAACCGTCTTCTCCACCTTCACCACTAGAGGTCAGCCACACATCAGTTTTGACTAATTCATTCCAACTAAAAACGTTTAGATGTTGATCCTTAACAGCATTAAATCAATAAAATCGATCTTTGTGTTTTTCTGTGAGTAAACGTATCAATAAGGAGAAAATAATCTTTTCTCAGCTGCTCCAAACCAGGTCCAATAAGAACCTGAATCTGCTCCAGTCTGACCAACGTTCTCCTGAAACTGGACCAAATCTGGCCACTTCTTGAATTCTGTTTTCATAAATGATTCTTGATTTCAGAGACTAGAATGACTCATCCATAGTTTCATATTGAGCAGATTCATAAGTCAGTAAGGTGAGATGTGATTGGATGCTCCACGTCGCTGCAGCTCTGCAGTTTCCTCCCAGCCAGAGCGAAGTCCTACCTGTGGAGAACCCAGTCTTCTTGTGACACTTGGTGAACTCGATGTTAAAGTAGGTGACCAGAGCGTGGATGTAGTCGTTCCTCTGGATTTGTAAGCAGAAGGCCGAGGTGAATGAGAGGTCGTCAGGTTTCACTGTGTAGATGTCTACTTCCTGAAACAGCAGAGAGCCTCATGTCAGCGACCGTCAGATAAACTCTGAGATTCTAATTTAGGTCAGATTTCTCTTGGACTTTTTCAGTTTTTCTTATTACAACCAAAAATTAAATGCTTTTATTGGGATTTTATGCAACAGAACACAAAACCTGAAACAAGTGTGACATGGAATGAAAAGAAAACCTGGTTTTCAAAATGTTTGTAAATAGAAATCTGATAAGTGTCATGCATTCAAACCCCATTTAATCAGGTACGCCAAAATAAAGTCCATTTATGTATGCAGATAATGTTGCCCACTCTTAGGCTTGCATTGTAAATATGAATGTTTTACCTGGTGAAATAAAAGTTAACTATCTTCAGTTAGAGAACATTATAGAATAAAGACGCCCACAGGGGACATGGTGGTGGCAGCATCATGCTGTGGGGATGGGAATGGAGTCAAATCCAAGACAATCCTGGAAGAAAATCTGCTAAACTCTGCAGAAGATCTGAGAAACACACAGTGAGACATGCAATGGCAGATTTATGTGGTAGAATGGCCTAGTCAAAGTCTGGATTCATAGCCAATTAAAAACCTGAAAAGACTAAAATATTCCTGTTCCCAGACTGATTAAGGTCTAGGTGAGTTCAGACAGCTTTGAGTCAGGAAGCTGTAATCAGCGTCGGTAATGAGAAGGTCTCCATGACGATGAGAACAATCAGGTGACGAGACGGGCTGCGATTGTCATGCAGGGCGCAGCGGCACGATGAGGGGATTTCACAGTGAGACGGCGCCGCATGCCAAGGTCAAACACAACGCAGGATGTTTATCAGCTGGAAATATTATTTATTAACTACATTTACCACCTGGTGTGGAACTGAGTTTTTCAGAAAGGTTTATAAAAATAACAGATTCACGTCACAAACAGCACTTGTAATGTATTTTTGGGATATAAACAGATATTTATTCTATTTGTTCTATTCGATTCCTGGAGAATGCAGATTTGTTTGTTTTTGCAGCCAAAGTGAAATGAAAGATCCAGGAGTTTCAATAATTCACGTAATTTATTAATAAACTAAAGAAATGCTTCAAGGTTTTATGGAGACATGCTGGGTTATAATCATAAAACAAACTTTGCACCAAACAAAACTAACACAAGAATCACTTTTCAAATCATTTCAGCTTTTTTATACGACAGCAGAAAATAAACAGTGAAAACCAGTAAAATGTTTAATCAGATGTTTCTAACTGGTGATCTTTTTACTCCCTGTGGGGGAATTTGGACCCACTCTGCTTTGCAGAATTATTTTAATTCAGCATTTTTTCTTTCTGAAAAATAATTTGCTGAAGCTGAAAGCATTAAATGTTTTCAATGTCGGCTAAAGCGCTAATGGAAAACCAGCTCTGCTAACGCAGCAGTGGCAGTGTGCTCACCACTGGTCACTGCCTGACAGGAATCGGCCTTCATTAAAACTCTTTCATTCCCAGACTAACCTTGACCAGGCAGGAGTTGGTCACCACCTGCTTGGGGTCCACCACGTCCACCAGCGGCTCCTTCATGGCCACGTTTCGGATGCAGGTCATGTCAAAGCCGTACACGTTCTCCCACCCTGGTGAAGATGACGGCATCATGGAGTTAATCTACAACCTGGTTTCACTTGTTGTCTTCAACGTTTATTACAAACGCATGAAGTCGTTTCGTTGCTCCAGGAAAACCACAGCGAAGAGCCCGGCTGCATCTGGGAAACAACGGGACACGGCAGGAGGAATGTCTTGTTCAGACAGCCAGAGTCGTGTGATCTACGACTCTTCAGATGCACCTCAAACAGTTTAGACTGCTTTCCAGAGTGACGCACTAAAAGTCCCACTTTGTTGGGCAACACTCTGTTATCATGGGTCTGATTAGAGTCAGACTTCAATCTTGTGTCGCAAATCCTTGTTGCCTGAGCTGAGTCGTCCCATAAATTATTCATACAGGCTCTTATGGTGATGTGTGAGCAAACATCTCCTTCATGACCCAAAAGAAGAGAAAACCCGAGTGCAGAGGAGAGCTGGTGATGATGAACAGGTCGGAGCAGCCCAGAGAGACTTCATGATTTACTATATTTGCATTTCTTGCTGTCTACTTATCTGAGAGAGTTTGGAGCAACATTGATCATTGGAAGCTCCTGGAATACAGAAATCCTTCAAACACCGTAAAGGTCTCCCACAATCCTCCTGGGCGGTTCGGGATGGGATGGAGGGGTTTGCTGATCCATGATGTCAGTAAGGAGCTTCTGCAGGAGAACCAAACCCAAACTGCTTCTATAGATATCCATCCATCATCTGACTGTTTTTAGTCACTCAGAGCCGAAACGGTTCTCAGGAAACATGAGGAGGGAAAACGTTAGACTGCAGACAAGCCTGAGCGATGCTCTTACAGTGTATTTTGAAGTCTTTGTACTGCCTGTCTTCGATGGCCAACACGTAGAGGGAGGCTCGGTCCGGAAACATCAGTCCACCAGCCTTCTGTTTGACAGAACAGAGGAAAAAACACACTGAGGAAAATAACTTTTAAATTATTAATGCACATTTTTACCTCACCTTTCATACTATGATGGAATAGAGAACTTATAAAAACATTTTCTGTTGCGATTGAGCTGAATCCAACCAAACTGCTTGTCACCTTTACATGACAATAACTCCATTCATTCAAAATGTTATTAATATTTAAAGTCTGACTGAGATTACTTGGGATCAAACGTATCAAACCAAGATGCATTTTTAACGCAGGTGATCTGGATGCCATACCAGCCACTTGTCCCTTGCGAAGATGACGGTGTTGAGCATGGATTCGTAGAACAGACTGTAGCCCATCCACTCAGATATGATGATGTCGACCTTCTCCACAGGAAGCTCCACCTCCTCCACCTTTCCTTTGAATATGGTGATAACTGAAACACACAGAGGGAGTACAGGGAGCCTGTGGTGTTTGGTAGCAGGTGTCTGGGCGCAGAATGAGAACTAATAGAGAGGATGGAAGAAGAGCTCTGATGGAATCTGACCCAGTTGGGGGCGACGGTGGAGGATTGGATCTTTGCTCTGCTGGAAAATAATTGACTTGAGGTGTTTGCTCTGATTTGGTGAGGAGTTACTGTAGAGTTTCTGTGTTGATACAACGACTGGCAGAATGACGCGAGTCCTGCTCCTCCACACGGATAACGCTGTTTCTCTAAATGACTGCAGTGTATTTGCTATTCATAGGTATACAGATAAGACATTTGCTGACGAGCCATTATTCGGCTGGTGTGTGGCTAGTGGCTTTGCAGGAAATTATTTTATTTTATTTTTTGCAGGACTTCAGGAATTGAACTGCATTAATTTATGACATTTGAAAACTTGTCTGAGCAAAGTAACACAGCAGAGTAATGATGGAGGTCTGTGCTTTGATATTATTCATGAAGTCACTTTTACTTCAGTGCATACTTTTTATTCTTCTGCATCACATTTCTATGCTTTCCTTCCCTCTTTTTGTTCAATTCATTTTTATGGCAGTGACTTATGAATTGATCCATTAATCTGTGAAGGACTCTCATGTCTTTGTCTTTTCTAAAGAAAAATACTGTTAGAATTACAGGTGCATGTGTACAAACTTGACTTTACTTAAGGAAGTTAAACGCTGAGCACACTTCTGCTAATCCGCTAATAGCAGAGCTACATTTTTGTTGTGTGCTTCAGCATTTTGGCTAACATTGGCTAGCACTGGAAGCTTCACCTAAATTATTTTTGGGGATAAATTCTAAAGCACTAATTTATTTGGCTGTTTTGTTAACTTTGAGTTGAATAAAGTGTGACATCTGTAATGACGTTTTGTTTATCAATAGTTATGAATATAAAAACAGACTTTTATATTCATGCTCTTATTTTGGAGTGTTACACAGCAGCTCCGTTTCCTTTCCTCACGTTTTCCACCCGTGACGCAGCAAATGACATTTATTCTGTACCCAGAATGCATTGCTGTAGCTTAAAATCTATTTATGTTCTGTGTTTTCTGACCAATTAGGCAAAATTAGCAACAGCGTTAGCAAAACTCAGCAAACATAACACAGTTAGGTGTAAACTTCTGCCAAAGCTCAACGGACACTCCTCCATTTTGGAAATATTATGACATCACAAACTCTCACCATTTCCAGATGTAATTTTTTGGTCATTATGGGTTTAAATTTAGGAAAATGAGGAATTTTCTACGACAGAAACAGTTTAGAGCATGTCAGGAAACGCTTACCGCTGTCCAGGTGGTTGGACTTGATGATCCGCTCTGAGTACTCTGATATACTGGAACATTCAATCTGGTAGAAACAGAAAATTGAATGTAACAACTGACGGTAACATAGCTATCTTATTATAAAATTCTCATCCCTGTGACCCTGGTGAGTTCCTGTCTGCATTTTGGTCCCGTTCAAAAACCCATCATGACATATTTACTCTGTTTGAGGGTTTTTGATGGAATGATTGTTGATTGTTTGCATAAAATTAATAAAACTCAGTTAGTGAGGAGTTTGTCTTCTGCAGGAGAAATTTTCCTTCTGAAACTCGTCTTTGTTATGTAAAATAGGAAACTGCTGCAGTCTACTGAGCCGGGGGAGAAAAGCTTCATCAAACATCCAACCATCTACAAATATTTAAAAACCCACTCAGAGGATTTTCTTTTCTCTTTTTTTTTCTTTTTTTTTCTTTTTTGCTGTCTTGTTAAAGTTAACTTTACCTTTTAAAACATGCAGAGCCTGACAGCAGCAGGTAAGGGATTATTCCTGACATCGTGCACTGCGGCTGATTTAGCTTTGCAGGAAATGCCCTGCAGTCAAGCTGAAAATAGAGGAGTGGTAAAACACTACAGAGGGACAAACGCTGAACAGGGGAGAAGGTACTGTCACAGTGACTGTAGTGCTGCCAAGGCTCTTTAAGGAAAATTAAGATCAGAGCGACTGCAACTAAACACTATTTAATATTGACCGTTTTCTCACAATTTATTTTATTCATTCTGACTTCAATAATTTTATTATTTTCAAGCTTCTTACTCTGAATATTGTCTGTATCCTAACTGTTCAGTAGTTTTGATTTCTTTTTTATTGCTTGGCTGATTATTATAGTTTAATCATATTTATATTAATATTTGTATTTATTTTCATTCTGCAAATCCTTAACCTGAATGTGATATAAAGTGCCGTTTCTAAAGTAAAAGCAGTAATTTGGATTATTTACAAAAAAAAAATGGGGGTTAATTTTTCAAATTGTTATTCTTTCATTTATAAATGTCACTAAATATTTAGTTTATACAATAAATATTTAGCTCATAGATAATTAGTCGATCTGCAAATTTTTCGACAATAAGTGGAAGTGGACTATCAAAATAAAAGTTGTCTTCTGTAACCGCCTGCTGGTGGATCACATGGATGTTGTTGAGTTTCTGTAGGTCCAGATCCATCAGTAAACATCTGTGCTGCTTTAAGTAGAAATGTTGTACAAGAAGAAATGAAAAGAAATAATGTTGATGAGGTGGAATGAGCAATGCCAACAGCTTTTATTTTGATGGCCCACTTCCTGTTATCAGCAAGTGAATTTACATATTAGCTAAATATTTAGCTTTCAACTAAAGTTTTATCATGCTAACTATATTTAGCTTGGAGCTTGATGTTTAGTTTGTAGACTGAATATTTAGCTTGAAACATTTATAAATGAATAGTTAAATGTTAAATTAATAGATAAATGTTGTCGTACTTGGGAGGGCAGGAGGAATCTACTGAGATTTCCAATAACCCAAATTATTTGTTCATTTTTGACTGTGTTTCTACACAGGCAAAAGTGTGTAAAAATGAGTGTGTAACATAAAAGTGCTGGTAAAACGCTACCAAGCAGTTCTTAAGATGAAACTTAAAAAAAAAAAGCCAAACATATTTTTCAGATTAGTTGTTTCATCATCTGCTCTATTTACATCAGGGCTTTTTATTAGTGAAATACACCAAGACCTAATATTTCTGGTCACGTTGACCCAAACGATTCTGAAGTGAACCATAAAAGTTCTGGTCCATAAAATGAGGAAGTCAAGCTGGGACTCAGTCAAACGGATGTCAAATGAAAGGCGCTCGGCTGCACAGCGTTCGCTCATGGCACACTGCTGCTAGTGTGCTAATAGCAGAGCTACATTTTGTTTAGCACACTTAGTTTCCCTATGTAAATTATTCCAGATAAATTCTAAAGCACTAATTTTCTTGGCTGTTTTATGAACTTTCAGGTGAATGAAGTTTGATGTCTGTGTTATTGACCGTAAAAATTCTTCAATTAGATGTTTAAATTCATGCTCTTATTTTGAAGTCTGTTTATGCAGTGGTTCTGTCAGTGTCAATAACTGATAAAAACAGGTTTGAGGGTTTTCAAGGAACAAGAATTAATTAGTTTTTTTGGAAATGCAAACAAACTAATCTTCATAAAATCCTGAGATTTTATGCAGACTCGACTGGCAGAGTCCTTTTAAAAATGTTAGAACTGTAATTTCTGTCCCTCTGCTCTGAGCTCAACTGAGTGACTCACAGAACCGATCGATGCAGTTAAAACATGTCAACATCATTACAGATCCAATGCATTGACATGCAGACAGCTTGGCGGTAAAGTCCACATCCTCCCAGTTAAAGCTGAACTCATCTCTGAAGTCTAAGCTTTCGAGGTGTCAATAAACCCAGAAACATGGAGGAGGGGCAGCGCAGATGTGAAAAGCATCAAAGTGCATCAACTGGAGGCGAAAGACAAGGATGGAGAGATGAGAAACCCAAAGAGACAGCTGGATGGAGAAGGCAAACAAACAGCAGGCTGGAGGTAAAGTCACACAAACGGCAGAATGTCAACCAGCAGCTCAGAAAAACCCGACTTAATCACATCTTCCCTGAAGCTTGTGGATAGAAGTGGAGTCAAAAATAAGCTCCTCGTGATCATCTCCAGCCAGGGGAGAGCATGCTGCGTTTATTCTCAGACATGCTTTGGGTCCAAATTACTTCTGCTCCAGAACAGAACAGAACAGCAGAGCGGATCACAACCTGCTGCAGTCTGCACTCCTATCAGCTGCACATCAGAGGAACGTTCCAAATGTGCAACAAAGTCTGACACAGCAGGTTCAACTCAACTGGATTTAAAAAGAAAAGCTCAAAATTATGTTCATAATTTTCATGTTCTTTCATGTACATGATCTGGAAACTCTTCATCTTCTTGCTCAAATCTAAATATGAACTAAATTATATTGTTCTGATTTTGTAGAAATAAATAAAATAGAAAATATTTTTTCTTGCAAAAACTCAAACTTTTACTGCATAAACAGGTGAAAAGTTCGATCAAAGATTCGACTTCCTGCCTCAGAATCAGCAGGTGTGATGTTTCCTGGTTCAGGATTCGGGTCGACTGATCCGTATCGATCATCCTGTTGGTCTGGAATCAGAGCTCCTCCGTGCCACACCGCATTGATGCAGGAATTCATGCAAAAGGAGCCCAGATCATGTTCATAAACCTAACAATTGATTAAAATATCATGTTTATTGATTTTATGACATACTACAATTTTCTGAGACACATTTTTTTAAATATATTTTTTTTATTATTCTCTAAGCCAC